TACTGGCATCATGGCGGTCACAAATGGTTCTCAGAATCCGACTTCAGATTCAATTTTATCCAGAGGTAACGCCAAGATTTACGATTTCAGTACCTGCGGGGTCTTAGGAATAGGGTTCGAATCCACCCCATACTTCCGGTGCGTGCGTGCTGTGTGTGTGTGTGTAAGAGAGAGAATTTTTAATCACTGAAAATGTTCCTGGTTTTTGTTCCCTCTGTGTTGGGGACTTCTAACACAGAAGAGAGGCCCTTATTAGGCTTAAGAACCTTGTAGATGGCATAATCATCATTGTTTTTCTTACGAGTAACTCCAGGAAGAAGAATCTCTCTTGCGAAGCTAATGGTCGCTCAGCTAGTCAGTGGACTCCCGCCATTTATGTTACCCGAAAGTACGTTGTTTGTTCCCCTCAGGACGCTCTGCTGGGCTATCCGAATCCACTCAGTGTTATCCGCCCATCTACTCTTAGGTCTTCCAATTACTGCCTTCCATTCATGTTTCCCGACCAATTCTCGCTGTGTCCATGCGCGCTACGTGCCCGACCCATCTCATCCTCCCTGGCGCGATGAGCCTCGGAGCACTTGGCGAGGCGCCCGGATTGTGAAAGAATTGTCCCGGAGCGGAAATTGGTTCTTGAAACGTGTTTACTCAAATCAAAACAGCGAATCATGTTCGGAGCTCAAGGACAGCGTTGTGTACACACTCGTGCGCTTCGCCGACATCGATAAGTGACAGATTGACTGAAAAGCGCAGATATCTTACAAATGTTGCAGATTGTAATGTTAGGATAGGAACCGCGCACGCCGCTCAGCAAACCAAACGATCGGCTGCAACAAGCGGGCAAGTCCATTCAGAATATCTCGGAGGACGACGGCGACCCCTGTGTGACCTGTAGGAGGAACTGCAACTAGCAGCAGATTAATTAAGATTACAGCAGAAAAGAAATTGGCAGATTCCATCCGTGAGGTTTTTTTTTTCGCTCTAATGCGCTTAATGAACCGAGGGAACATCACGTTTTACGCCCCACGACAGTGCTTTGTTTCGAGAACATGGCCATCGGAATATCTGAAACTGAATGCGGAATGAAAACGTTCGTTTTGAACAACTGAAATGGAACTCGCTTCCGAGATATTCTGAAGTCGCCACAAAATGTGAATGTGCGACATTTCATCAGTTCAGCTGCAAACCCTTCCCTTTAGAACTCTTGTCATGTCCTATGATGATGTGACTTGGAATCTGCCAGTTTTTCGGAGCCGCGTGTCTGTTCAAACGAAGAATTAATTCTCATTTGCTCGAGCGTCACATTTCAATGCAGCCACCTTAATCCTTTATGAACAACGTCTGTTCATTTGTATTCGCACTGCTTTTGGTCTGTTTAACGACACTGTCACTATCTCCGGCTGCAGTCTGCACCTTTAAGCGAATAAGGAATTGGCTATGTTATGTAAGAACGTGATCGCGGCCAAATTTATGGTATTTGCCTGAAGTAGCTGAGGAAAACCATGAAATGGCTCCGTGGGGATAGCCAGTTTTCGGTTCGGCCTTTGATCGCGTTCCATAGCTTACGGCTGCAGCTTTGTGCTCGGTAGTTCCCGGGTTCGGACCTCTGTCCCCAGAGTACCTTAAATTAAGTTTATGAAGTTTCCTTCCGCATCCTTTCCTATTCACTGCTCATTAATCGTCGTACTATTTGAAGGTAGATTCCTGGTGTTCCGTGAGAAGGGATTAAGTCAAACATGATTTATGCTAACTTTACCCCATTTTACAGACAACCAAAAAATATACTCTGGAAGTGTTAACCTTTTGCAGCAAGAAATTTGTCTAAATAATTTTTATAAATTGGCTTTATGCTTTAAACAAAACACGGCGCACCTGCGTACAAACAGTTACTGCCTCTTACCCTCTGAAGCAGAAATTAGGTTCGTCTTATTAATATTTAAACATTCAGCCCGTACCGCAAAGTATAAAAACAAATTATTAAATGCTACTTAGGGAAATGATGGCTGTCTGTGAGAAGCTACGAACGAAAGCCAAGAATTACTGGTCGTTAAAGCAGAAATACGTCACGCAACTGTAATTCAGTGGATTAAGAAAGCGCATTGCCGATTCACATCACGACTCGCATGGGACACAAAAAAGTGCTTCGATTCTTGGCTGAACCACATGGCCTGTGGGTTCAAGTCTTTGTGCGCTTTGCTTCAGGAACGGAGGAAAACCGCGACAAACCTCAAGCTCGCAACTCTTTGAAAAATCAGAATTGATTTCCACAACGGTGGTCCAGAATGAGAGAAAAATCCGCGAACATTACTTCCACATGTGTATATAATATACACAGGAAAATCATATGTGCTTCATATGCTACGTGTTGCTTATTTAGTGACGTTTTTCGTTCAGAATAGAAGGGAGGCCTCTCAACAGCTGTGATCCAGCTTCCGTGTTGAAGGCAGAACGCGTCTCATTCCGAATTGTTTTCTGCAGACCTTCAGCGCCGATACACTCGAA